TAGCGTGTAATATCTCACAAAAGGTCGCTATAGGAACAGTGAAACTTTGTTTTTCGAGGAAATCACTGGCAAGGGTAAGCCGCTCGTGGTTTCTTCGGTGCAGGCGTGAAAATTGACCAAGACCATACTCAAACAGCGTACTGATGGAAGTAATGAAGCACTGGTCCGACTGCGTTTTTTGAAACGTTTCGTAGTCCTTCCAGCTGGACGCTACTCCAGCCCACAGAGCCAAGCTTGCCCGCGAGTGGTGCTGACGACAGCTGCCCGACTTCATTGGTGAAGAGGAATGGTCATCCTAATTTCCAGGACTTGACTCACATGACTCCCACGAATGGTCCCTGATTGGAAGAGGACCTGTCGAGTTTGCAGTCCCAGTTTGGAGTCATAGAATGCAAAGACTGAAGAACGGCTGGGAAGAAATTGAGAAGGATACCTGCGTGCCACATGCGATCAAGTCGAGAGCAAACTTTGACTTCTATCAGCGCTCATGGTTAATATTTCGAAAGGCGACTGTAGCATGTAGTAGCACAGAGTGTTGGCTAGTGTGCACAGAAATTCCATCATCTTTCGCAGCGGAGAAGTTTCAAATAAATTATATATCGGCGCCAATAATTTTGGGACACCCTGTACCAGCTTGTGAGGACCATGAGGGAGACTGATCATTCTAGTACTTATACGATGCAGAGAATTCCTTCAATACAATTGCAAGCTACAGGTACATTGTGGAAATTACTTCTTAGAAGTGTTCCGTTGCTTTCAGAAATTTACTATGCGCATTAGTAGCTTACTATTGAGTCATAACAGTGAATAAAATTTCTTGCTTGGCTCCACTGTGGGTTAGTTTTTTATAGCTGTCTTCTAGTTCGCATCCGCCTACTAGTGTCCCTGTCAGAAAACTTCAGTTTGAAATTGAGTCAAAACAAGAAGTTATCTTGGTTGCCACGCTGTGAGGATTCCGATAATACTATTATAAAACATCAACCAAGTGCGCATTGTTATCGTTACGGGTAGGGGATTCTTGTACAAGTCCATGTAGAAATATGCGAAGACTTATGAAAAGTCAAACTTTGGCTTCACAGTGCAGTTTCGGCTTTTTGGCTTCGAATCATTGCCACAGCGGTAAAATTTATGCATTTAGGAGATCATTCAGACCGTCTTGCTGCATGGTCTGTGAGGTCAGTAGCAGTCAGCGGCTGTGATTGCTACAATACCACATAGCGCTCACAAAATGGATAATTTTGCCCGTCTATAATACCCTCCACTGTTTGCTGTGCTCGCACGAAAATCTGGGTTGCTTTGCATGAGAGAAAGTCGGAAAAAGAAGGAATTTGACAGTCTCTCTACTAAGTTAGGTAAATCACTAGCATTTGACGATGAGTCACTTACTTTTGATACAAGTTGTCCCTCGTGCAACACATCGGAGTGTAACAGACCATTTAGTACGGTAGCTCCATTGCTGATTTGTAGTATGGAAAGAATAAGGTGCATGATTCTTTTTTTCTATGCTGATGGAGTAAAATCTGCGCGTTATTGCCGAATGCAAGTTTAGTATAGTGAAACTGTTTATAATCGGGCAAGACCATTAAATGAATGAAGCCGATGAAGCTACGGCGCAGAGTTGGTTATGGATGTATGTAACCGAAGCTTTTTTTCTATGACGGGATCAAAACAAGTTGTAAAATGTTGTAAAAAGTGCGTTGTAGCCTATTCAATTTAGTCTTTATCGTCAGAATGAATGCACCTTTTCCATGCATCAGTTCTATGAAGGAGTCCTGCCATCTTTTAATATCTGTCTTTTCTCATTATTCCTGTCAAATATACCAAAATTGCAACTATTATGACAGCTTGAAGGAACGCTTACAGAACCCTTTCTAGTTTGGTATTTCTTTTCCGATGAATACCTCAAAAACAGTAACAAGTAGCTATCAAAACTGTAATGACTGCGTATCAATGCGAGTCAATCATCGGGGTCGCCATTCTTGTGGCATCTTCAATCGCATTTACGAAAAGAATTCGTTCGAAGATGACATCCGAATGAAAAGTCTTTTCAATATGATAAATGTCTTCTGCGACGGTGGGAGGGGGCGTCTCGAACAAGGTGGCGATTCTCGCCGTATCCTTGACTGTTACAGCGCCATCGCTAGCGACAACGTCTACTACACCACTAGGACAGAGTGATTGAATAGCTGTCTTGAAGTTAATCCAAACTTCTGACAAATCGTTCAATATTTGAAATCCAACAACCACTGAATTTCCTGTGTGATTAAAAATCTTCTCGGTTTCCCTCATCTGCAAGTTTTTGACTTGAATTTTCCTGAGCTTGACTAGAGTTCTGCAGTTCTTTTTCCATCTAATTCCTACTGGCTTATTTCTGAAGGAACTTTCAAAACTCCAATATCGTTTCTGTCTTATAGTCCCCGTCTGTTCAGTTCTTTCCACTGCTTCTATTTCTCGAGTGAGCTTCAAGTTCCCCAACTTTTAAACCTTTTCACATGGTTTCGCTTGAGTAGAAGGTCAGGGAAAGGTCAGAGGATTCAGGTTTGGCAAATGTAAGAGTGAAATCAAACTGAAGTTGTATTTTGTTAAGAAAACCATGACATAGCGCAGCTAAGATTTATAGCTCCACGAAATGACGGCTGAAGTGTAAACCTTGAACTGATGACCTCGCGTCGCAGAAAACTGCGATGAACTAGGCTTGACTAGGCCTAGCGCATTTNTTTGATTATAGGGACTAAAACTAGATAAGCTAATTGACTTATTTACTCACTATACATTACAAGTATGTTGTCAACAAAAGTAATGTCGCAATCAACATAAGAATCAAGCATCAAGCAGTGACCTGTTGAAGGAGGATAACTGCAGCAGCCTTGAAGTTTTTCCGCCACTCACATTCACAGCAATGCTTTGCATTAGCAATTGACCGAATTGAGCAAGTAATTACTAGGGCATTTGCTGCGATAAGTGTTTTATCGAATCTTCTGATACCGAAAATCTGGAATTCAACCCATCGCCGCGTTACCCATTTGCCCGAAATTTTAAGGCTGCGTTAGTTTCCGAAAGCAGCCTTGAAATTCCGGGCAATTTCGAGCAGCAGAGTTGCTCTGGGCGTGGCGTTTAAGTTCACGTCGCATTTCTGGGAAAGTAATCGACCAGTAAAAGACGAAAGTGGTCTTAACATTTCATAGGTCACTAACACGGACCTTGTCGTTTCAATTTATTTATCTTCAATACCTTTCTTCTTGTTCAATCACTCAAACCTTGAAGTACGTGTGTACTTGTAATCGAATTGAGTGGATTGTAATCGGATACTGTTCAATGGGTATCGTTTTGAAGCGCCTGGTTTCTTTACAGCTAATCAATGGATGACATTATAGTGTTTTCTTTCTCACCCAGTGTTGTTCATGCTGATCGACTCAAGGTTTCCTTTTAAAGCGATCTCTACTGAGCTTCTATCTGTAAAAGTTCGAACTCATTCAATACCAACAATGCACTCGCTGTTGAAATCGACTATAGTACATAGGATGCACTCCTATGCATATGGGTTTATAGCGACTGAAGCAACGGAATTGTGCGGATTGGCAATTCGGTTGGTACGCATTCTTGCGTACGAATTCGGCAAATTATCAATCGCGTGGACTTAGGGTTATATCAGTGGACGTTGATACCAATGACACAGCCTGCTTTCACCATTTCCATATACTTGATAGGTCGGAGGGGCAAAAGTATAGGTAGAGTTATTTGAAATACTCAGAAGTAAAGTAGATCCATTTTACAAGAATCAATTCAGCTCACCCTTTCTGACTCACTGGCATTATAATCGGTTCTGGGAAAGACGATCGAGAATATTGCCCTTGATGGGAGCTGTTCTTCATGTTTTTTTGGGGGACAATTCTGAAAAAAGCATGGAAAATATGTAGTATGCTATTTCCGTGCTCCTACTCAAGTCTACTTTGTATGCTCACCATGATTCTAATGTTAAGAAGTTTCAATTTTGTAATGAAATCCCAACAGCAGAATTTCCGAGAAAGAAGCGTTTCTGTGTATTATCGTCTTATCTGGGTCTGCGTAAGAAAAGAAGGGAAACCTATTCTTCACTCACAACTATTTAGCAAGAATTCCTAGATTACTATCCATCACCATTCTTTCTGATCAGTTCTGAAAACTAAGAACCTAGAAATCTTCTTTATTCTAATGTAATCTCCTTTAATACTACTGCACGATGATTAGGGTTTGTTTCCCAAAAAGCGCAGTCAAGAAGTGAAAGAATTCCTTGCTATGTACAGCAGTTGGAGAGGACGTATGATGCCGTGTGACCGAGTCTGATCTTTATACAGTATACATTCTGATTCCTTGCAATTTTGAATTTTCTGACTGTAAGTTCAGTACGGGAGGTACTCTGCGAAGAGATAGGTGATAGGTCAAGAATTTGTTAATTATTTCCAACGGTAAAAATCCGCTGTCAAGAATTTGTTAATTATTTCCAACGGTAAAAATCCACATCTGCTGATGAGGCTTTCTAATTTCTGTTCTCAATTCAGCTCTTATGGCGATCACCGACTTTTTTAGTGATAGCAAACCCTAATATTTCTGCAAAAAAAGTTGAGAGTCAGCCGATTACTACAACCTTCTTTGACAAAGTTGTAGTAATCGGCTAACCCTTCACTTCTTTGAATGAATACGAGTTTCCTGTACACGAACTTTGACACAACCAACAGGGTAGTGCATATGTTATACAGTGAAAGGCGGTGCTTACGCGATCCCTCTGATTGGGAGTGCCGACCTTTTGCTCTCTGAAAAATAAATACCCATCGAAGATTCAAATGTGAGACAACCAGAGCTTTGAGCGGTACATACAAATGTTTCGAGCAATGAAAACACCATTATTAGGTGTGGTCATCAATGGACCCTACTCTTCACAGAAATATCATTGATTGAAAATTCAAAATTACTGACGGTTGGATAGGTTTTGTGGCGAATGATATCGGCCGAAGAGGACCCTTCATTGAATCATAAACCTTGCTGGGTAGCGGTCGTAATCTAATAGCAAGAAATGAACAGAATTTTTATCTTCTTGTCGTAGTGCCTCTAATGGGTCCCTGTCGTTGCGGTTACCACTCACTTTTGTCACCTTACTCTACCATCCCGTCTTATCGAATGAAAATACTGAATAGTAGAAACTACATCGCAAATACCGAAGACGATAGGATTTTGTTAAATGGCCATCTCTTTATTACCACTGCGAAAAAAAAACAAAATTTCTAAAATATTATCAGTGTAGTTTGATAGTCGTAATTTTATATTGAAGGTATCATACTAGAGTGCGCTTTGGGTACTGTCGGCGAGACTTCTTCGGTGCATCAGAATAACTACGTTCCGAGAAGCGCATCGCTTAATTTTAATTCTTTCATAACATACACTTTTCGAACAAATGTGGCAGAACATATGTGATCACGCATTTGTTCTGCGCACTGCGTTATACAGCGCAACTGTTTGTCAGATATTTGCGATCGTGCCAGCTCAATCTTGTACCGAATGGGAAATGGATATCTCGTTTGACTGAGACAAATTTAACGTAAAAAACGTATTTGTACTGTTATACTTAGCCTGACCATTCGCTGGTGAACGGGCGTAGAGTACTGTAATAATGACTGAAAACGATTAGCCTGAACATCGACCAGTATTTTTTGGGCGGGTCCTCGTCATTATAATCGGTGTATGCCAAATCCTTCAACTACGATCGTGTCACCGATCATACGTCACTCTAGGCGGTTTGACTGTGTCGATGTAATATTGTCATTTCAATGTTTCGATTTACATTACGCCCATTGACATTTTGGCAAACATGCTGGGGGCGGATACACTTTTCGCTCACTTCACTCATATCAGGTTTTTTGAATGTTCCGACATTTTTTCAAATTTCAACTTTCTACGACTTACTGACGCTTTGCAGTCACCCAATTTTATACCTAAAATACAAGCCCTGCTTTCCTGTTCGTATAACATTTCTTTTTTGCATATGAAATCTTAGTGAGCTCATCGAAGGGAGTTCGGAGTTCAGATTTACAGAAAAAGTTGTTTCCAATGGCTGTCATTAGTTTTACTAGATCTGCTGAATAGTTCTATTTAAATTACACTGACAATTCCTTGTGCTTTACCCATATGCTTTTTTTCGATCACAGCTACGATTTAGTTGTGCTAATCAGAGTAACTGCCTTTTTTCACAGTTCACGATTAAAATGGCTTATGAGACATCCCCCTAGGATAAATTTGTGGCCTCCTTTTATAACGTATGTGGTGCTGTCAAGTCGGAAAGCGACCTAGATAGGGCGTTATGAAGGCTTGAAGATTGTCTCGTGTATATTCCCGGACGAGTTTCACCGACATTGTAGAGACTGCTCCAATCAGAAGGGAACCAATGTAGAAAGTCCAAACATCTAGTCGTGACCATTAGCGACTGTGAAAGGCAGTTCTGTACAGTTCAGGCTTGAGTAGTCAGCTCTTTGCGCAATCGCAACAACTGAAATCACGTCCCATTAACCCTTCCATGTTATTTCTGTGATGGTAATATCGTCAAACCTCTATTTTCTCTACCCTTTAAAGTAAAGTCTTTAAAGAGACTCACTTTTCTCGAATACGACGAATTTCCTTGCTCTCTCCACTACCGATATCTATTTCTAACCTATACTTCCGCTTTTCGACTAAAAAGGGCACCCCATAATTGTCGTGAACTCTGCCTTTAGACCACGTTATCTACCCTACTCTGCAGCGATTTCTGAAATTGATAATGTCCAGCCACAGACGATTACAGATTATTCAGTAGGACTTGTTAGACTTTTTAAGAATATGGTGAGTAGAGGGCTGAGCAGGGTTTGCGTTTTTGAGAATTCTAGAGATTACAATTATAATAAATAATAACCATCACACGCGATATCTCTTGCCTTTATGTGCCCTACATACCAGTCCGGGATGTTTTCGATTAGTTTACTATTGTTTGCTTCATTTAATCTTCTTTTTCATCTGCATCGCTAGTTTGAGGTAAATTTCCTCTCGGAATACTGTAATATCAGTCGTTTACATGTCTGTATCACCAGGATGGCAACTCCTTTTAGTCCCGAAATGGCTTGAGCCTTTTAGACGGTGGTTCGGTTATTTACGCTACGCTTTACCATTCTAAAAATTCATTAAGCAATGCACTGGTTTCCTGGTTTTTCAGTCTGATCCCTGCTACGTAGAATCGATCTGGGGTCCGCGAAGTGGCAACAGATGTCTCCTCCACGAGCCTCCCTTAT